TAAGCATATCTTTTACAGAAAGTGGAGCTGTTTAGTTACATCGGTGGTTTCATTGGCGTCTGGCTGGGTGTATCATTTGTACAAGTGATGGACCTTCTTGAAGCGCTGTGCCGTATATTTACCTACGTGTGCAGAAAAAGATATCCTAGAGATTATGTCTAGCAAATACTTTAAAAGTAATCCAGGAATGAAAATTTGCTTACCGACACTTTAACTTTAAATATAATAAACTTAAATAAATATATTTAAATGTAATAATTGAAATTAAACTTTCGTGGTATTGAAAGCAATTTCAGGTTATAGTTTTAAAGATTTTTCACATAACGAAGCAAGAGGAATCATCCTTTCCGTAGTATCGAGCTCTAAAACAAAGTAAATTAAATGTCTACTTCCATTAGCTTGATTTATAGGTTTTTATACGTTTGTGTTGTAACATAGGCCTCTAGTTTTTACCTAATGGTGGCAAAGAATAGTTTAAATTTCGATAATAATTTGAATGACTATTAATACTTATACCTCAGATTGCATGTACAAATGAAGTTCGCTTTTTTACTTCCTTGTACCAAGTAAAGAAAGTACTATAATCGAAAAAAATTTCGAGTATCATATTTCAACGAAAATATCCATTTTGACTGCTATCAAATCCACTCGAATGATTTGTTTTACGTGACATCTGTGCATACTGACAGAATAAAGGTTTGGTTTAGTTTATTACATTACGGCAAAGCACTCGAGGGCTATCTGCCTTAACAGAGGGATGCCTTCGTGGAGGACTTTTTAAGGGAAACTGGCTCGTATACACGTTACACATGGGGAAAACCACGAAAACGCCCATGCAGCCAGCCCATTTGCGGGATTCAAACCTCGGACCGAACTACCAGTGTTCAGCGACGTTACCGCTCGGCCGCTGGTGGGCCTCGACAGAATAAAGGACCATTTTTTCTAAAACGGATGGTAAAATTGATTTAAAATGGATTCAGAAGAGATTATTTTTCGTGACTTCTGTATATACCTCCCATAACTCAAAAAACGAGTATCCATAGAACGTTGAAATTTTATGTAGGAGACTGTTATAATGTGTAGTTGTGCATCTTCTTTTTTCGCTGCAATCGGCCGCACTAAAATATTTATTCACACCCTGATACCTGGCTTGGAGAACTCATTTTAGCCTTACATGTTGGTAAATAGGGCATTTTTTTTTTTTTTTTTGGCTTTAAAAGTAGTTGAATAATTAATTGTCGTTCTTATGTTCCAATTAAGATGTTTATGCCTTTAGTTAATCTGCAAGCAATAGTTCTAGAATTAACAATTTAAAAGTGGGTTTTTGGTCTAACGAGGCCGCCAATTGTTTACATTTGAAACTCTTTTAGTAGAATAGTGGATGAAGTCAGTTCATGAACGAAATTTGATGCCTTCTTAGAAGAACAAAGGATTAAGTCAGTTGGTGTGCGAACTTCAGTTCAGTTCACTTTTTGCCCAGTGGGACCAAACATTAACTTTAAGCAATTTTGTGCGCCGAAAATTTTGTCTTCCCGCCTATTGGCCGAATAGCTTGTTCTTGCGTAGAAACTTTAGTTTTAATTGTAAAAATTGTTCTTAAACTGTTTTAATTGCATATGGTGTTTTAAAATTTTCTTTATTTTACAAATTTTAATGTAGATGTTTTGAGCTTTTATGCAGTATTGGTTTGCCAAGAAATAAGAACTGAATTGATTAAATGAGAAGTATGTCTGTAATGAAATTCGAGGAAATAAGTTTAAATGAAGTGCAGAAAAAAAAAAAAAAAATTCTATAATTTAATAAGGACGTGCAGTGTTCACATCAGATTTTTTTGTCATTAATACTTTCTTTGCATGTTCTTTTCGGATGTTATTTTGTGTTTTAATTGTGTAATAATTTATAATGCTGGAATGCTTTTTTTTTTTTTTAATCAGTGGCTAAATAACACATGCTTTGTAATTTTCTCCTTTCATTTGATATCTATTCAAAGATTTATTTCCTATTTTTTGCAGTGATGAAATTTCCATATCTGTATTTAAAGATAAAAGTAATAGGGAAGAAAGCAAAATTAATGTAAGTTTTAAATGTATTCAAATATAAATTCTAACATAAATATATAAATATTTGTATTAAGCTATTTATTATGTTTAGATGATATAAAATAAGATAGAATCTACACAGTTGAACTCGGTAAAAGTAATGGTAATTTCTATCTTATGGTAGATTGAATATAGAATAACTTTTCATTTACTCATGTCTACAACAGCGTTTTCACTCAAATATTCATTCTCTGTTAAGAATGCACATGGCTTAATAAATACTTTCTGTACCTTCAGTATACTTAAATAATTTTTCATTAAACCATTAATGAAATATTTTAATTCTCTTAATAAAACGTTTGATCTCTATTTGTCGCATCTTCTTTATTTCTCACAATATTCCTTGTAATGAAGTTAGTATTTCATTGTGTCGTAAATGTCTTACCTAAATTGAGCAAAACGCAAATTGTGTTATGAGACAAATGCAGTTTTAAAAATCAGACACGCAAGCACATTTTTTTTAAAATTGTAACTGGAAGAAATTACAAAGAACAGCAAAAAGAAAATTCCAGTTAAATAAAGCCAACAGCAAAGCCTGTTGCTTAATATAATGAAGTAATTTAGTGAAATGTATAAAATTAAAACATTAATGAAATACATTCACAATTTTAATTGCATTACCCTTTCGGGCAGCGAGATGCCAGATGTCATACCTTTTTTATAAGTTTTTATCTCGTAGATGAAAGCTGCAAAATTCCATTTAAAATACACACAATTATGCCTTTTAGTTCTCTAATTGTATAACAGATGGCAGCACTAGTATTTATTCATGGAAATAATGTAAAATAAAAATTCTTTGCAGGCCTAATTTTGAAGCAGTTTTTTTAAATTTATTTCTAATGCAATTTAAATCATTTGAACAACAATTTTTGGTGTTAGAATGAATATTTTTATGTGAAATTTTCCTTTTCTAATAAAAATTATTATTTGAATACATATATATTAATTAAAAATGGTTGAAATTAAAAGGTGGGACCGAATACGTCCCACCGTGCACGTAGGAATTGCTGCTACTAGACGGCAGCATTGCTCAAATATTTTTAAATTCAAGTATCGTTCGTTTTATAGGTTGATAATGCAAATGTATCTATTTAATAAATTTCAATAATGTTAAAACTTGAAAAATATTTAGTATTTTTCTGAAAGAAATGAAAATATAACTCTATAACATGAAATGCCATTGAATACTTAATGGATATGCGAGTGTGATTCACCATAGAAAAATATCCTAAGCAGAGGAAAGAGAGGTGAAATGTAAATAAACATGACAGTCTTCTAAATATCTTCCTTTTCAAACCTGCAACAAATAAAGTACTGGAGCAAAAATCTTCTCTGTTTCAAATCTATTATGAAATCATTAAAAAATATCTAAAAAAAGTCGTACAGAGAAATTTTTTTAAAATTAAGTAATTTTTTTAAAAATATTTTTTATTTTGCAAATATGATCAATATTTTCTAGATAATTATTCAAAAACATTTCTTATATCTTGCATTTTCATTTGGTTGTTAAAACTAGCACTTTAGATAAACATGTTAGGAGAATTTACGCCCAGGCAAAGATGCCATTTTATTGCTCTAGATGCGTTGGTGGGACAAGTGGTATCCCACCACGTCATTAATTACCTAAAGGTTTACCTGTCCCCCCCAAAAAATAACATTGTATCCGGGGATAATTATCTATGTGTAAACTTATTTTTTTCCAAAAAAAAAAAAATTTTTTTTTTTTTTTTTTTTTTTTTTTGCACCGAACCTCAGAAGGTTACCATTACTCTTGAATTTTATTTTATTTTTATTTTAATATTTCCGATCAGAAAATTTGAGTTTGCCAAAGTGCCTGAATATTATACCTCTTGTCAGGAAGAAAAGGTTCCTAATTTAAATCATTAAAATATAGTGGAAGCTAGATATTACAAAACCACTTATGTGTCCCACAATGTAAGGTTAATTAACTTTTTGAAGACGGGATGGCCATTATAGTGGCCATAGAGTCCTCTCTTTGAAAAGACAGGGTTGTCCACTTTAGTGGCCACATCTTTTTCCCCCATTTTCCAGGCTGAAAAGTGGGGTGAAATATCAAATTTGACATCCCTAGGGTTTTAACCACTTATCTCTTTCAAAGATCTTCCTTTTGCGACATAGATGCACCCCTCTGAGAATACATTAAACTACACACAAGAATCTTTGTTGCAAATAGGAGGTGATTTCTTAAAGGGGAAAGCATTCGGTTTAAGATTCCCCGTCCTTTGGTAGCTTTTACTGCTACCAAAGCCCGGCCTCAAAAGGTTAAAGGCCATAAATATAAAAATTGGAAGAAAAGCTCTTCGCAAACCAGTACAGTTAAAATAAACTTAATTTTAAACAAAAAATAAAAGTAATTTCGACTTGATAATGTAATCTTTATTTTTTTTAATTTGGTAAAAATAATTAAAACTCTCTCTTTGTGGCCATTAATTCTATGCAATATTTCTAATGTTCATTTTATGCTGTTGATAGATAAATTATGGAAAAATAGACTTTTGAAAATGCTTCCTTCCGTATTTTATGCACAATGCATTCTTACATGATACCATACCTAATTATAAAATATGAAGGGAGCTAGTTGCACTGTACACCTTTGATATTCTAATTAATATTCTTTACTGAAAATATATGCAATCATAAAAAACATTATCTTTCACAACACGCCGCTGAAAATCTAAAAATTTACAGAAATGTTATTACATGAAAATTTTAAAACCCAACAGCCCATTTCTCCAATTTATAGCTACCGAATTTAAAACACACAAAGCATTCTTTTTCAAAAATATAATGAATGTGTGACTTATATTAGAATATTAAAATTGTCATTTCATATCAGATAGAGGAATAAATCAGTTTTAAAAATAAGCTGAACAACAATATAATAAACATCGTATATTTCGCATTTAAAAAAAAATTCACAATCATACGATACTACAGATCTAAATACATAAGCTGTCAAGCTATTCATTAAAATAAAATTATACATTTCATATACTCTTTTAACAGTAAAAATATTTATATAAAAACAATTTTAGGTTTCCCAAACACTGAAAATGATATGCGACAGATAATTTATTATGTAAAATTGTTGCATATACAATTTCTCACAAAAATATGTATCACAGCAAACATAAGCTGCAAAAATTTGCTACATTTAATTAAAAAAAATTATAATTTCAATATATTTTGTGTTTCTATACATATATTTGATTGTACAAAATAAATTAAAACCTACATGACTGCTAAAAAATAAGCAAACTGGAAATAATACATGCATAAAATGTTGAAATGCAAAGATTACCACTAATAAATTTTTCAAATATTACATAAAAATTTATTACAGTGTATTATCACAAAGCTGACTCCTCTTCCTTTGTTAAACTTAAATTTATATCATTTAAAAGATCACTTAAATTTGAATAGTTCAATTCATCTTCAGGATAGCTTGGAATAGCTTTTGTAGCAGATGCAGTTTTATTATCGTTGTATGACGAAGATATTCCAATGCCTGATTCCTCATTATTTTCCATTACAGTGTCTTCTATTTGGTATTTTAACCAAGGAAATCTGCAAGTTTTAAAAATAAATATTATAATTATTATAACTATTTTAATTACAAACAATAAATGGGAATATATAAATAATAATAATTTAAAAAGTCATAGCCTCTCTAATTTAGCATGTTAAATACAGGGTGATTACAACAGAAGTTCCACATCCAAAAAGTCTAAACAAATTACTGGTCAGAATGACCTGAAATTGCACATAAGTATACATGAAGCAATAAGTATTTGTCTGCCAATAGAAAAAATAGCTCAAAATTTTATCAATAGTTCGCGCTATACTTGTCATAATATGTTAATTAAGAGATGTGACATATGCACCATATACAGTCAAAAGTCGTTAATCCGGACTCGTCGGGACTTCGGCGATTCCGGATTATCGATTTTTCCGGATTATAGATCATCAGTTTAAATCTCGTAAGATGGCATGCAGAAATTCTAAAATTAAAAATATGAAACCGTAATTTATGAAATAAAGAACAATTATGATCTAAAGGGTATCAAAATTTAAAAAAAAAAAAAAAAAAAAAAAAAAAAAGCAGCTTAATATTTATTTGTTTACTTTATTAAACATTTCTTTCAATGTAAGTTGTTTAAGTTGCTTCATTTTATGTGATAATACTTTCTCTTTAATTCTATAAACAGACATAATTTCTTGTTCAGTTACAAAGTTCCGCTGTTCAAGTCCCGTTAATTGCTGTGCCGAGAATACCGACTAACTTGTCAATCGAAATTTTTTCGTTTTCACTAACCTCTCTGTCACATTCTTCATGTCTTTATCCATTTTTTGCAGCAATTCCACTTTTTGTTTGATGGACATCGAAACATACTTTCGTTTTGTAGATCCTTTGGAAGTTCCAGCATCGGAAATTCTATTTGACATAATCGAAAGTTCAAGTTTACTTTTATAAAATTGCTCTTACAGTCTGCAAAAAATAATAAGCCGGATCCAATTCGAAGATTAAGAAACAACGCAATCATTAACATTAACTGAAATAGAAAATTAGATAATTTTAGCTTACACTCCGTTATACATTAAACGCGCAGGCGAAAACGTATTCTGCACTTGCGCACACGCATATGCACAGTAGTCAAGGTCTTACGCGCACGCGTAAAACGCCTGTGCGCATGTGCCGACGTGGCGCATGCGCAGAAAGTTTTTAGCTTTGAGGTCCGGATTATAGATCATTCCGGATTATGGGTATCCGAATTAACGACTTTTGACTGTATTAGACTTAATACAAACATGGAGTACATGCAGTTCCCATTACTCTGCACCTGAAAAACCATCAATGAAGGATCAGGCTGTACTTGTGAAACTATTTTCGAGTTAAAGCTGAGGTCAGATGTTTGCAATGTTTTGCAATTTTGAGTATGAACAAAACCTTGGAGAAAGAATTGGGCTTCATCTGCCCAAATGTTCCATGGCTAGGCATTATCCACTTCCATCTGAGCAAAAAATCATAAAAATTTGTCATATTAGCAGGTTAGCAGAAAGCAGCTCCTGAGAATGTGTAATTTTGAATGAATAGCATTGTTGGATATTTCATAACATTTTATGAACATTGCTGCTAGATGTGTTTAAAGATTGTGCAATTTCCTCCGCACTGCACACTCCAACACCACTTCTAATTTCTTCTGGCAAAGCTGTAGCCATATCTTCTATTGATGCCAAAGCAAATGCTTTCCTTCCTCTGCCAAAGCTTATATCAAATGAACCAGTCTTTTCAAATTTATGAATCATCTTCCACAAACCCTTAAGAGACATTTTATGCCTATAATTGCTCTGAACTTCCTCAGGGAAGTTGAAGCACAGTCACCATTCTAGTAAAAAGCTTTACAAACAAAACCCAATCCTTCATTGACAAGCTTCTCAGATGCAGAATAACAGGAACTGCATGTGTTTTTAATTAAGTCTGATATGTGGTCTGCATGTTGTCTTTTAACTTATATTATGCCAAGTACAGTGTCCTCTATAGACATAATTTTGAACTATTTTCTTCCCATTTGACAGAAAAATTCACATTGCTTCATGTACATTCAGGCCAAATTTCAGGTCATTCTGACAGCTTTCTGAAAGTGGAACTTTAATTATAATCACCCTGTACTCTGGCAGAAGTGGATAATTTGAAGTATGCACAAAGTATACACATGAAGAACGATAATATTTCATTATTTGAAAATCCATTTATTTTAATACCATAAAATTCTAATAATCTGCACACCCTGCAATCAAGGGTTGTATGGATTAGACAATTTTGCAGGCTACAGGCCGTCTCTCCAACTTTGTTCATATTTCTTCAGTTAACTGAGTGGTAATTTTTATTTATGTCATCATTTACAAGTGAGTGGCAACATTAGTATTTTTAAGTGAATGGCAATAGCAGTGAATGTTGCAGTTCTTTCTCTGTTATGTAAAAGTATTTGTTTATTCTGAAATGTACAGTTATATGTGAAAAAAAAGTAAAAGTATGCTGTTGCAAATATATGTGACTTTTCAACAATTTAAAATTTAGATTATTTGCATTGAAGTGACTATCAAAACATGACTATGCCCTAAGAAACATTTAATTAGCATTCATAAAATACAAAACTGTTCTACTTTTTAAATAAAATTATAAGCAAGGAAAACAGTGTAAGATCAAAAGGAAAAAAAATGCTGCAGATAGAAAAATTGATAAATCAGAAGGAAATATTTTGAATTAGTAAAGAACACTTCTGTAAAAACACTCCAAAATGTTTTATGCAGCAAAAAATTGACACACTTACTAATAAAATTACTTTTAAAGAAATGTTTATGCTTTTAAATAAGAAAAACTTAATAATTATACTGTTTACTCAAATCCATGTAGCAAAATTTCTGCAAAATTTAAGCCTGTTTTTCTTTACCACATTTTCCCTTTTTGATGTTAAAAAATCTCTACAAGTGCCAGTTTTGATTACCTGTCTCTGCTGCCAACATAAACAAGCTTGCTCACTGCACTGAATATAAATAAACTGGATACAACATGTATTAAGTTGGAACTCCACATCTAAAAAGTTGCAGACTGATTCTTTACAAACATAAACTCAACATTAATTTTAAAAGACAGCAGAATATATATCTAAAAGGAAGTATTCATATTAAATTAAAAATTTGTAGATATTAACGATACTATTAAACAAAACCACTGATGTGGGGGGAAGGCTAAATAATTTCAATAATAAAATGAAGTTGTTTCTTTATAATACAGTCAGCTGTCTTATAAATAAAGTATATTTTTTATTAACAATTTTATTTGTATATACATATAAGAAGAAATCATAAGAATTTTGTTTGTTTACATCAAAAATGAGTGCAGATGCATACATTGATAAATTATGAGAATTCTGCTGTATTCTAGCTAAGAAACATTAAATATATTGGGCAATAATGTATGATAAATATTTGAGCAGGAATGTGAAAAACCAACATACTTGCAGTATTAGTCAGACAGAATCCCTTGCACAGTATCAGGAAGATAAATATTTTAATAGTTGGTAAGGAATTCACCACTTTGGCAACATGAGAAAATAAATTACACTGCATGACTTTTATAAAATTACTGAAGTTAAAGTAATGATATAATAGCTAATTTATACTCTTTGCACTTATAACTTAAATAATACCTGTTGGCTCTTTTGATTGTTTTTGAATAATATTGTGTTTCTTTTGGCAAAAGAAATTCTCAACATATGCGACACCACTAGCTTTCAATTATTTCTAACATATTTTTTTCTTTTTACTCTATTTTTAAAATATATATATTTACTCTATCTACTATTCTGTTATTCCAATATAAAACAATGATATCTATTGTGCGTTATTCTTTGCAGAGCTTAATGCTAGCCCCATACAGCAACAATAAACAGAAATAAGACTTTTATATACAGGGTGGTATCAGTACAGCGGTGACAAACTTTCACGAAAGATAGAGTAGACCTAACGATGGGAAAATCCATAGAAATGCATGCGCTTTGCTGGGCGGTAGTGACAACACAAAAGTCAAAGAAAGGACACAAACAGGGTGAGAAAATATGTTTATTATTTGGAGTACAACAAAAACACAAAATAGACAATGATCATCACCAAAGAAAGTGTTCGAAATTATGCCTTGGACAATGATGCAGGAACCAGGCATCATGCATCTTTCATTTGAGATGCAGATCTTCCATGCGCCGGAGAAGTGAGGCCTGCATCATGGTCTAGGGTCGTAATTTTAAAAAACTTCTTTAATGACGATTGTTGTTTTTGTTCTTATTTGTAGGTTTCAGTTGTACTAAACATAATAAAACATGTTTTGCCTCACTGTTTGTTCCCTTTCTTTTTCATGTTTTGTGTCATCACTACTATGCACCAGGAAAGCATTTCCAACCATGCATTCCTATGCGATTTCCCATCGTCTAGGTGTACTCTATCTTTCCTGAAAGTTTGTCACTGCTGTACTGATTCCTGAAAGTTTGTCAGCTGTCTCCTATCATAATAATCAATCCTTGTACTCATGGAAATTTGTTTCTTTGGAATATTGTAATGTACCAAGATTTTCTTCTTTAGAACCTTGAGATCTGCTTTATAGAAATTTGCTTTTCAGATAATGTGTATATCGATTTGTAATTTCACAGCTGTTAATTTTTCTTTTTTATTTAAAAGCATGTTTCTTTCTTGACAAAAAGAATGATTCATGCACAAGGAAGTAGAATTTTAAACCATCTGCAAAAATATTAACACTCCAAAGGTTTACATGGCATTTTAACTATTTGTTCGTATTCTATCTCCACTCTGCATTCTGTTGATGAAGTACATGGTTCCAGTGCTGACAAAGCCCTGAAGAGTTTTTTTCCTGGTGCAAACTTTCAAAGTCTCATATTATTTAAGTTCAAGCATTGCAAATGAAATAGTACTGTAAATACAATATTATACTGTTTTCACTTTTTTTTAAAATCAATAAACTATATGCATAGTGAAGAGTGTAAGACTACTATCTATATATACATATAATAAACTTTCTTTAAGATCCATGGTTCCAACTCACTTTTCATGATACCACCTCTGTGAAGGTGGTCACTTCAGAGAACTTTTATTGAATATAGAATTTTATTCATGTTCTTGGTAAAACTGGTCACTTTTAGAAATGGTGATTTTGGGATGATAAAAGAGGATTTTGCAATAAAATTTTTTAAAGGCTATACTGAATCCTAATTTATGTAATACTCGTGTTGGTTTTGATGAATAATGGTTCTGGTTCAAATGCATAATTATAGCTATAACACAGCTCTGTAACACAATTGCATAATTATATGAATAACACAACTCTCACTTCAAATATACATATTAAATTTATACATATATTTTTTTTTCCTCTAGAAAAATATCAAATAATACTTACAATTTCAGAACTGAAAATTCACCTTCAGGCCTTTGTAGAGCAATTTCATTTATTGGCACATTATTTAATAATATGCCATGACCACCATTACCTGTTATCTGAGATGATAATATACTCAGCTCTGTAAAACTATCTGCAGAATTTAAATCTTCAGCATCAATTTGAATGCCATGCCTTTCACAATCGGTGATTTTTGAAGTCTTCATTTGAAAACTGGTTAAAGATCTCATTTGTATGCCATCTTCCTATTTAAAAATTTAAACATTTGAATTTTATTAATTTATTTGAAAATTAGTTAAAATTCTACATGAAATTAATGTAAATATATGTATAGAAATATAAATACTTCTTCATACGATTCAGATGGAAACCAAAAAAAGTTTGTATATGGCAAACTATTATAGTAATCCCTTGCTAATCATGAGAATTAGATTCTGTAATTGTTCTGAAGATAAAGAAACTATGAAAACATACAAGAAATGGGTACAGTGTAATTTTAGCTATTTATGCAAAATTTAAATAATTTTGGATTAACTTAAAAATGATGCAAAAAGACAGAGAAGATTTATTTAAGTTTATTAATTGGATTAGACAAATAAAATTTGATTCCCAGTGGAAAAACTCGAGAATGCAATTTAATTAATTGCCTATCAAAGAAAAGTATTCCCATAACAACTATCATTGTGAAATCTTATTAAAAACTTTTATTTCCACAATATATTTTCATATTTCCTGATCACTATGATAAGCAACTGTGGCTGTCCCTTTTTTATCACTTTGCTAAAAAATTGAGATAGACTCTAATAGCTCCACAGTAGCAATTTCAGATGAGCATGGCATAAGAACATTTCCATACATATTTCATTTACTATAAAATCTTCTGCTATGAGTTACAGCTACTGTAGTACTTATATCAAGAATTCTATTGCTGGTTATAACTTATAGCCATAATTGGAAACAGGGAGCATTTATTGTAGAATTTCATTATTTATTATGGAATGCATGAAACAGAACAAATTTGCACTTATCTCTTGAAAATAGAATTCTCCCCCCCCCCATCCATGACCAGACGTATAGGCAAGTGAAGACCAGAAATCAAACATAGGGGTGAATAATAAAAGTATGAAAATAGAACAAATATGTGAATAACAATAAAATAAGTCAAATATTTTAACATAAATTTTTATAATTCCTTGGCTACCAATAACTGAAACAGTAGATAATGAGAGATTACTGTAAAACCATAAACACAAGGAAATATTTAATGCTTATATGTGAAAACTACATCATATTAAAATTCAATCATAATAACATATACATATCAATAAAAATTTGCTTTTAGTACATTACCTATTTATTCAAAAAAGCCTATACAGTATTTTAAAGGTGCTCCCCAATATTTAATTTTTCATTTTATTTATTAATTTACATAGTAGAAAACTAATGGTAGTGAATATTTCATTTAAATTCAAACTTGCTTATACGATGGCACTTCTTTGTTAAAAATGTCCTAAGTGCATCTGATCATTTTCTTAAACTGAAGTTATATCATATTTGCAGTCATTTAAAATCCTTTTAAAGATTTTCAACTGGCAATATATTTTCAAACATTTGATTAAAAATTGTGCTATTTTAATTAACATGTTATTTCTGTCACTTCTATCGACCTCACCAGGATGTAAATTAGATGAGATTTAAACAGCTCAGGTATAAATTTAAGGAAAGTCTGACAATATATATATATTCTAAGACCCCACAAGGAACTGTTAATTAGCTCTCTTAATTTTCAGTTTTACTTAAAAGTTGTGGCATGAATAAACTTTTAACTTAATTTTTCCTCTTGAATTTATTTCTTAAGAGTTCACAAATTTTAATTCAGTATAAGGATGGTAAGTCATCTTTAGAACAATAAAGTTAATTTAAGAAAAGCATTGAAAAGATTTAATTTTACTAAGTTGTACAATAATAAATTCATTTTACAGAATATTTTTCAATTTATTTCCATGCTTTAATATTTATATAAAAGCAAGGTGTTAGCCAAAAATTAGCAAAAATGTTTAAACTCATTTATCACTATGTTTCTCAATCCACCATGAGCTGTTGCATATATTCATATCCATTTTAGACTACTCTGTTGAACTCATCTCAGTCAATAAATTACTTTATATGGTCTTTTTAAATAACAGATTTGGCATGTTATGCCATTTTAATATGCTTGATAACTGATAATGAGAAACAATGATAGGTGTACATAAAATTTACTTGTAAGAAATGCAACATAAAATGGTAAAACAATTTTTCCATAAAGACACTGATACTGAGACTACCCTGATAAATTGATTGCTCATCTCCATAAACCAAATATATAGATACTGTTTTGCATATAACATAATTTTACTTTCTCATTTATTGCACTTTATTTCAACAAAGATTTTGCAGTTGAAAGGAATAAAATATTTTTACTTTTATTAAATATACTAACTTTGAGAAAAATAATAAAATAATCTGCCTGTACATTTAATCCATTCTACTACAGCTAAAATAAAATATTTTTAACCTCCATAAACAAAATGTGTTTTTACCTGATGCTTTTATTCAAAATTTATTTTTTCATTTCTAAAATCTCTCTAAAACACCTTCTTATAGAAGTATCATTTAAACATTATACCTTGACTAAATATCTAATAAAGTTTTTAAAGATATTTTAAGAATGCTTTTGCATCTGTTAATAAATGATTTCATACATATGAATGGTATCAGAAAGTTTCCCAGATTTGATTAAAAATAAACTATTTGCTTAATCTGGTTTGGCTGCCATCTATTTACTTTTACTGAACACTGGATAAAATTTCAAAATGCCACTTTAAATTTTAATCTAAAGAACAATGCAATATTGCAGAGAACTAGGCTAAGTGAACAGGGAAGATAGGAAAGGAAAACCATGAGAGTGTTTATCAAAGAACTGGATATATTCAGGGATATATATGCAACAGCAAAAAGTAAACTCTTCAGCAGTGTGCAAAAAATCAAACTTTGTTAAAATTTATTAGTAGATTTCATAAATAACTCTAGTGTTATCTGCACAATCATTATTTTTCTAGAAGACTTTTTTAATTGAATATTTTTTGCCATTTTGCATGATTAAACGACCTTAAACACTTGTCATTTTCAAATCAAACTCAGTGTGAATGTCATTAAAAGTAGTTTGATTTAAAACATCATTATTAAAAGCCAAACAAAAATCATATCAAAGGTTTTAATAACAGATTTACTGAATTTCGCACAAAGATTGATGTATATTTTGGTATGTACTATTGAAACATCATGCTCTTACTTCAACATTAAATGGTAGAACAATGCAGGAGGATTGCAAAATTGAGAGTCTGACCTACATTTGTCTCTTAGTTCAAAAAGCCAGTCATAACCATAGCAAGCCAGGAGCTTTTGAATAGACCCTTATAGACATTCTTATAGACAGAGTTGTTAAGAAACTATTACAAAATGGGTAACCCCAAAAGTTCCACAGTTTTTAAAATTGAAACATGTTTTCTTCTAATTATTTTATTATGGCTGATGCGGAGTACCTTGATCAAAGCAGATGTTTAAAGGCAATTTTTTTATACTCACGCTGCATAATGATAGCATGTGATGTAGAATACATTTTTTTCTTTCAGTGCAGTACTAAGAATGGAGAATCTAAAAATTTATCTTCATTATATTGTGATTTTGTATCTTAAAAAAGGGAAACTGTGCAAATCAGACTGCTCATAAAATTGTGCTATTGTGGAAAAAGTGCTGTTTCTGATGACACAGCTCTAAGGTGGTTTGAGAAGTTTAAACATGGATATTTCGCTCTCAGAGATAATGCCCCTCTGGACAATCTTTGGCCCGCTCTGGACAATCCTTTAGAATACCACAGATTTTGCTGTCCCGTTATATCACTTTTAATTATTTGGCTTCTACATATTTTTTCGCAAATTCTGTTAATTGGAAATTTTTACTTTATGTTTGTGACATCCAAAAACTTTTAAATGTGTGGCTATCATCATAAAGCTTAGCTTGCATCTGCTATACACCACTGGCAATGGTGATGTATCATGAGATTGGCAACTAAAGACATGCTGTTCCCCTAAATTTTGTCTTGTTTCTATCACACGATGAAGAATTAAGCTTGAATTATATTAGTTATTAATTATATTAATATCTATTTTCCACATATCTTAAGGCTTATCTGAGGCCCAATAAATAAACTCCAATGTATACTTAAGGCTTACTAGAAAGCAATAAACTTTGGATAATATTTCAGGGCGAAATGCATGCCGAGCAAAAAGGTGGCTACACAATCAAATTATCGATCATGCAGATTTATGTTAATGAATGATTGCATTTGTTCAACATGGAGGTGCTTTATTTAGTGTTTAAATGAAATTATGAATCAGGACTCTCCCATGCTTTATTATGAAAAAAATGTGCCAATGTGTGAATGTGCAAAGCATTAAACATATGGCTACAGCAAGATGTAGTTCTAATTCTTTTTCCTATTTTGCAAAAAATTTCTTAAAAAAATTGCTGTGGTCCAGGGGTCTGGATATTGGACTTGGTACTGTATTAAATGATAAAAAGTGAAATTTTCTTAAATATCATTTTTAGTTATTTTAATTAATAATTTTATTTTTTGACGTTGCATTTTACAAAGTGAATGAAATATCTATAAATTATTACTGAATATATATCAGCAGTTATTTTCAGCTTTTTTGAAATGCAAATCTTACATTAAAATAAGATCAAGAATATAATACTTAAAAATATAATCTTGATAAAAATCTGTTATTATACTTGTTATACATCAAAAGACAAAAATGCCTTACTAAAGAATTGCAGACAACACAGTCTTCCAGGAAAACCTCTGCTCCTCCAAGCAGCAGCAGACCAATATCAGCTTTATTGCTGTCTACTATGCAGTTATTTAAATTTAATCTACCATGATGTACAACAAGAACACTTAGGAGTCCTTTCTTTGCTTTCAATGAGATATTTTCAATTTTCAAATTCTGTGCACAACAGTTAACAAAAACTTCACTATTGCCAGTTGCTTCAACTACAATATCACTGCAGTTCCCCAAACCTGAAACAGCAGAATTTAATCAAACAAATTTGTTAATATGTTTTGCTTTTTAAAGATAACACAAATTAGATATACAATGTTAAAACTGAATCCCTTGTTACAGCAAAATATGTTAGAAGCTTTCATTTTATTAAAAGGTACTATTCTGAAAACTCCCCTGATTACAAAAACAGCTATTAGCTTTCAATTCAAGATGCAAGATTACACAGCACAAATATTTAGGATTCCAGTATACATGTAATCTTTCTAATCATAAGATAAGTAATCCAGGGAATAATATTTCTGAATTTTTAGCAATTTTTATTCAAAAGGAGTATTATTCAAACAACTGAAACTACTACAGCCCGTTTTTAATTTAATTTTATTTAACACAGCAAACAGTCATAAAAATAAATAAATAAAATTCGTTAATCTAAAATACTTAACTTATAAAACTAATTAAATTACTGAAAAAAGATTATATTATACACTATGGTGAAGAAACATCGTGAAGAAAACAACGCAAGGTGAAAACGTTGGTACAAAACATCATAGGTGTGTGTGTGTGTGTGAGTGATTATGGCAAAGCCTCGAGGGCTATCTGCCTAAGGGAAGGGATGCCTTCGTGGAGAATTTTCTAAGGGAAACTGGCTCGTATACACATTACACATAGGGGAAACCCCGAAAACGCCCATGCAGCCAGCCTGTTCGCAGGATTCGAACCTCGAATTGAACTACCAGTGTTCAGAGACTTTACCGCTCGGCCGCTGGTGGGCCAAAACATCGTAGGAGATAAGAAAGAAAAGAGAAAACATTGCAATTCTAAAACATCGTGGCACAAAATACCACAGTCGAAAATAAAGCGATTCAAATACTTCGCAGTTTAAAAACAGTTGCCAAAAATATCATGGTAAAAAATAAAGTACCTACAAATCATCGTATGACAATAACATTGCACAATGCTTAAGCTTCCTTCTTACATTTTCAGCAAAAATTTATTAGTTCACTCAAAAATATGAAATATAGAACTAAAAATATCCCTCTTTCTTTCCTGCACTCCGAAATCATTATGCAAAAATGCACTTACGACTTTTAAAACCTGAAAAATGCATATGTGCGATGTTATCATCATGAGATGATCCTGTTGGTACTTTATTTTTTACTAGGATACTTTCAGTGACGATATTTTTAAAATATGAAGTTTTTGAACAGCTTTAGTTTCAACCCCGATATTTTGTACCATGATGTTTTTTAACTGTGGTGTTTTCTCTTTGCTTTCTTTTCTCTCACAATGTTTTGTACTATAACGTTTTCATCCACGATGTTTTCGGCGGACTCCCACACTACACCTCCAATATGGATGGATAGCGCTTATTAAAAAAAAAAAAAGCTTAGCAAAATACTTTTTATAGCTTGTGAATCAGATAAAAAATTATCTATATCTACTGTATATAAATATTTACCAAGCATTTATTTACTTAAAAAATCAATATTTTCATATTTTTTTATTTTTCTTTGAAATCAGTCTACCTTAGTGTTTTTTTTATGCGAGCCATATGCATTATGCATCACCAATAAAAAAATTTTTTTATTCATAACACACTTGTTTAAAATGTATTTTTCCAAACTATTTCCTGATTAAAATTTTCAAAAAAATTTCTAGTTTTCTTGGCAATTATTCACCATATGTTTTTATGACAACCACTTCATTACATGTCACATGAAACTATTGACAAAAAGATCTCTATGAAGGAACTACGATCTTAAGACACTAACTACAACACGAAACATAAGCTTGAGGGTTTTCAAAACTTGTAATTTCTGTTACCACTTCCATATGAAAACTTTGCCAATAGTTCAGCAGCTTTTGGAGTCAATTACAATTCAGAAATTACTTTCTCTGGTTTTACAGCTTTTATGCTAGAAACCTCGTTTTTCAGATATATAAATCGCCTCTCTGTTTCCATACATATAATCCATTAAGTGCTCATTTTTTTAACAAAATTCATTCAAAAATTGCACATTTTTTATACAAAAAGAGCTAGAAAACCAATTTGTGAATTTTATGCAAATACAGTCAAAAGTCTTTAATCCGGAATCATCCATAATCCGGACTTCAAAGCTAAAAACTTTCAGCGCATGCGCATATGTTTACACATGCTCGTTTAATGTATAATGGACAGTAGAAGCTAAGCTAAAATTATCTAATTATCTATTTCAGTTAATGTTGCAGATTGTGTTGTTCCTTAATCTTCTAATTGGATCCGGATTATTATTTTTTGCAGACTGTTAGAGGAATTTTATAAAAGTAAGCTTGAACTTTCAATTATGTCAAAAAGAATTTCTGATTCTAGAGCTGCAAAAGGATCTACAAAACGAAAGCATGTTTCGATGTCCATCAAACAAAAATGGAAAAAAAAAGTGGATAAACGCATATCCTTTGTTTCTCTAACCCTTCCGAAATCTGTTTATCAATTTCACGCTCCTCTGACGTGAAGGGGGGGGCTCATGGCACACAATGAACTGGAAGTTGATTTGTCAGCATTATCCTTATCTTCAGGTCAGATGTTTTTATTTTATTCGGCTTATAATTCCTTACTAAATGTAGTATTTCATCTTGATGTACTCCGTCTTTGATATGATTTAAATCAAATTCCTCATCATTATAAATATCATGAATACACATCAAGTAGTTTTCTGGTTGCAATTTTCTAATTTCGACTATGCATAATGTATGCTTTATGCATGCGCACGTTGAAAGAAATGTATAATAAAGTAAACAAATAAATATTAAGCTTTTTCTTTGTAAATTTTGAAACCCTTTAGATCATAATTGTTCTATATTTCATAAATTACGGTTTCATATTTTTAATTTTATAATTTCTGCATGCCATCTTACCAGATCTAAACTGATTATCTATAATCCAGAAAAACCGATAATCCGGAATCGCCGAAGTCCCAACGAGTCCGGATTAAAGACTTTTTACTGTATATGAAATTTATTGTATAACCTATCCCATCAGTTGATCAAAACCTGATTTAAAGTCTAAACACTTTACAAAAAGCATTACTGATGGTTAAACTTTGGATACACTTTTAAATGAAGGCAACAATTACATGCCTGCGGATATTGCAAAATGAGCAAATTTTACTACATTTATGTTGCTTGTGAATATTGTGGGATAGGCAGACAGAGGCTTAACAAATGTTCTCATAAATCCCAGTTTCATTTTGTAATAAAAAGTACTATATTTTAGATGAATAGAAAACTAGCAATTATTATGTATTAGGGTATTTCTAAATATTGATTTGGTAGTTTTTACTCCTATTGCCATATGAAATTTTTGCCAACATTCTTGCAAAAATGCTATCTAGCATTTTACACCAGTCAAGATGCCATTTTCACTTCCCCATATAACAGAGGTGGGCACAGCCTGGCTCTCTTAGGCTATAGTTGCAGCTTTTATGCAAATAAAATATACATATGAAATATGGTACACTAAAACTATTCAATGTTCAAAAGAAAATATGATACACTTTGAATGATTGTTTAGAATCAGATGTTTCTTTCCATTTGAAACTGTTTCACTACTTTTCAAATTATGTAAATATGAACTTGTGGTTTTGGAAAATGTAGTAGCAACTCTTGAACTTTCCTTAATTCCAATATGTAGCTGTTACTCACATGAAGTTTGTCCATCCCCTGTTACATACATAGGTAAGGAGGATAATATTTATTATCTGAAAATTCAAGTGACTTGAAAACATCAATGGTATATCAAAGAAACTTATGCAGGAAACTCAGTGGCATAGACACTCAGAGTAGCATATTGTAAAACACAATAAAACTAAGGTCTGTGAACTAAAGAGCAGAGCTGTAATGGAACAGTCATAAGAACGAGATTGATAAAGAACAGAAATAAGTCCTCATAATTGGTGTGACTTATTTCTTCTGCTTTAACGGTAATGATAATACATGTACAGTCTAGCTGCACACAATTGCAATGTCTGGTGCAAGCAGCTGCAAGTTTTTTTTATCTTTTCTGGATGTTTCATGTACTCTGAAATGAGCTCACTGATTGCAGTTAGCTTGCACTTCAATAAGCAGGGCTATATTCAGATTTTAGATGAACAAATACTGCCTTGACATCTTACTGAAAGTTCTCTTGGAAGTACCAATTTCAAATGATGATAACTGTAAAGTGCTTTAGATAGAAATTGTTGCTAATTGGTTCAACAAGCATTCTGGGTAGCTCTGTCATTTTCTGAGCTGGCAAAATCCCTATAAGCAAGTTCTATCAAAAATCTGCAAGACAACTTAGAACAGCAAATCAGGAGAAACTAGAGACATTATTAGAACTAGACAACTTCAGGAATGGTTGATGCCGGAATAGCTTCAAATTGATATGAACGTCATAGACAGATTAATGCAGTCTGTAGTATGGCAAATTGCTACTGTCATTTATGTCCACAGGTAACTAACTAAATATTATTTGTCATTTAATGCAACAATTAACTTTTTGTCCAGGCAATATATTTTTCTTTCAAACATTAATTTTACCACTAGATGAACCAAGGTGGTTGTAAATGGGTGCCTGCCATATTTATTAATTAAGAAAAGATATTTTTTTTTAATTTTTAAAAATTCTAGTATAATATTGGTTGATTTAATATTAAAAAATATATAAACAAATATTCTATAAAATCTCTCAGGATGACCAACTCTGAAAATGATCAATAATACATAGAATACAGATAACATTGGTACCTCTAAAATGACAACCTTCAGAGAGGTAACAAAAATAAAAACTCATACCTGAAGCCATAAAACAAGAAGAAACAAATTACCTTGTACTAATATATTTCCTTCTAACCAACCCAAAGAATCACACTGGTAAACTCCTGGGAAAATTAGGATCTTATCACCGGAAGAACTTAATTTGAAAGCAGCTTCAGGACTGTGTTCAAACTCTAATATAGTTGTAAGGCCAACTGGCAAATTCTACACATACAAAAAAGAAAAAAAGACAAAAAAATTATTTAAGGTAAAAATTTAAAAAAGGTAACTAAATTCATGTTAATAAATTTCTATTTTAATTAGTCACTACATTACAACAGTTATCACAAAGAAGCAAACATTATTTTAAAAACAAAATAATATCTCACATTTTGCATGAATTAAAATAACAAAGCAAAGTTAATAATTACACTTTTTGAATATTATATTGAATACAATTTATTAAGAATGATAAATGTCACCTTGTTAAACAAAGATCTGCAACAAAAAGTTGCTAATTAAAATTATTAATTTATAAATTAAGACTTTTCCATTTACCTTAAAATATCAAAATAAGCAAAATGTTACTGAAATATGTATTTTTTTAAATGATACATATTGTTACTTTGTATGATTTTAGTCCATATGTTAGGCTTTTAGTTAACACGTTGAGCACCAAGTGTATTTCTTAGGCAATCCCGTTCAGGCCATGCGCACTGCTTAAAAGCGCTGGTATTGTAGGGCCAGCGATTCTTATCGCAGTAGAAGATAGTTTACGTTTGGAATGTGATTCCTATAGGCATTCATTCAACACGTTACGCGCTAAGTCTGTTTTGTAAATAGTTACATTCTATGCAAAGATATTACGAAGCAGAAAATTAGCATTACTGAAGTCCGGAAAGAATTAGCGCTATCCCTTACAAGTTGTGAAAAAGAAGATATTCCATCGAACAGAAATGCAAGAATATCTAAAAAACAACAACATAAACTCAAAAGAAAACCGGAAAAGCCTCTGGAGTACGGAAATATTGTAAATTATGTTATGATAAAAATGCAACTGAAGCTGGTAGAGTGATGGCCAGAAAAAAGACTAAGACAGTTGTCACATTTTGTAGTAGCTGTAATGGAGAACTGTTTTTATGCTTACTGTGTTTCAATGAAATCCATTAGTCCGGTAATGAATCAAAATTAAGTAAAATTTAAATAATTTTGGACTTTGTTAGTTAACTATGCCGGTTTAAAATTCCATTAAGTGCTATAAGTTGCATTATTATTATTATTATTATTATTTTTAAAGTTTCCTTCTTACTTTATCAGCAAAAATTTATTAGTTAATAAAAATATGAAAGTAAAATTATTCTTCTTTCCATCTTGCGCTCACAAATCATTATGGGAATATCCATTTACAGTTATTACAGCCTGAAAAAAGCGTGTCTGCGATGTTATTGTCATGCAATCATTTGTAGATACTTTATTTTTCACCACGATATGTTCGACGACGATGTTTTTAAACTGCGAAGTTTTTTAACCGCTTTATTTTCGACGACGATATTTTGTACTATGATGTTTTCTCTTTGTGATGTTTTGTAGCACGACGTTTTCGCCTTGAGTGTTTTCTCCACGTTGTTTTTACCAAGATGTTTTCGGCTGTAACCCAGCCACAGATGGCCGACATGGCGCTCAACGTGTTAATTTGTGTTTTAACTTTAAAAATTCTTGTTTCATATGAACATGCAACAGATGAATGTTTTGAAATCTCAGTATTTTCAATTTAACCTAGTAGTTCCCATTTAACTTGATGGTTGAAAATAATTATTACGAGTACGAGGAGAAATTATATCAAGCAGAATTCTTCCAAGTAACAGGTTTAGTGTAAGAGTATTTTGAAAATCCAGAGCTGTGAACATGAAGTGAAATTTATCGGTGACATATTTATAAAAGAATTCTAAGAAATAAATATCACTGCAACCAAAGCAAAAACAAATTTTGGTATCTAAAAAAATCAAAAGTACATACTATCGCATAAAATATAGAAGTTCAAATGGCTGTCATTTCTGAATTCTGTGCAAAAGTTATGAATTGATTCAGAAATTTAGGACCAAATTACACATTCATTCACATCATGAAGAGCCAATCAAATAATTTAATCTTCTTTTGAATGCTAAATAGGGTGGTTATTTTGGGAATAAGACAATATATTTTCATAAACAAGAAAGGTGATGCTGATGACAGAAGCTATTCTACACATACCATCCTAGGCAGTAAAAGAATCCTAAAAACAAATTTGCTAATTTATCTGTAGCTAAAAGCACTCTTACATCAGCTTTTACATCAGCATCAAATTTATTACTGGGAAACTTCTCTAAAATAGCATTTTTGGAAGACTTTCTAAAAGACAAGTTCAATGACTAATAAAATAATTTTCATAAACAACTTCTTACAGTGGTTAGTTAAGACACATTGACAAAATATAGATTCCTCAAATTCATTTTGTCACAAAATCTTTGCAAAGGCAGCTATTCAGGTTCCTAATTTTGTTAATAGTATGGATGCACACATATATTTTAGTGCTTATAATACTGTAATTATGAAGATTCAAGGAAGAAAAAGTTGAGACTATACTATGTTAACATTCAATGAATATTTTGTTCACATTACTGCAGTAGTTTATTTGATGCACAATTTGATGATTGATTCAATGAATATTTTTTTCACATTACTGCAGGTTTCTTCAAAGGTTGACATTTCTAGAATACAGTAATATTAGCACATCTATTCAAATATGCATTTTAATATATTAAGTTTATCCTTTAAACCAACTCCATATAAGCATGCATGATGTTATTTTTTCCCTTCAATTTCTAAAAGACAAAATTATTAAAAAGAGAAATATGTGAAAGTAGATGCAGATCCAAAGTATTCTTTGAAGATAAGATTTATTATAGCTATGAACTGTCAGACAGCCTTATTAATAGCAAATGCAGCTTTTAAAATTAGGGAAAATTTGTTTAGTGTAGATTATGAATAAAACTATCGATTTCAATGATGATCACACAAATTCCTCATTAAAAGAAAAAAAAAAAAACTTTTGCACAGAATTGGAGGCACAGAACAACTTTAAATAAAAAACAAATAATGCAACGAAGCAAAAATAAATGTAGTGCCATCTGCCAAGAAAAATTAAGGTAATAGACTTCTGAAATCGTTAGGAAGAACTGCATTTGAATTAATTTCACTAACTAAGGGTGGAAAAAAATTAATGTGAAAAATTTCAAAGAAATCCAGTCCTCAAGTGAAAAAGCTTTGAGAATAATTTTTACAGTACACTTTTTAAAATCAAAATTGAGATCAACTGTCTAGATTATGTTTAGCTGTTGAGGATTAGCTTAAATTGCTTAGACAAATCTAAGATCTGTGTTTCTATAAGATCTGTGAAATTTTAATTCTCTTTTAACTTGGTCATTGCATGGCAAACCATACTGATAGGATATTCTATAAATTCTCTAAAAATTAAAAATGGGGAAGGAATTCTTTAAGAAGCAAAAATGAATTTTACTTATTGGTGAGAAAATGACCTAAAGTTGAACTTCTGGAGAATCCGAGTAATTCTGTAACTGATAGTGGGAAGAAATGGAATAGCAACAAACTTCTTATGGTTATTTATAATACTGGAACATCTTATTTATTGATGATAGATAAGACACAGAATTTAATTTTTAAAGGCTTCACCTACATGGAAGAAAATTCTCAGCCAATAGTAACTAATTTCAAATAATTAAATTTGCAAGAAAGCAAATATTTATTGAAAACAAAACATTGAGAGTATAATTAAATAAAAGTAAAAAGAAGCTTTTGCCTTCCAGAAAAGGACTAGAATTACCAGATTCATTTTCAGAAATTGACTAGATGGTTAGATCAATCAAATTCATAAGAAATAAAAAATTCTTGTTTTAATCTTTATTATCACCAAAAGTGTGAATATGTGATTAACATAACAAACCCAGGGATAAAAAGATAATTTTTCAAAATGTAATAATTTGAGCTCAAAACAGTCTATGTAAATGCTAACAAGTACTGACTGAGGGGATTACCCATAATTCCTTCAGTTTTAACTAAATATTTTGGAAAACAAAGTGAATCTGACTAAAAAACCTTGAGCAAATAATGAGAAAAATGAACTTTTCAGTTTCAGAATTATGAAATTGAATTTTTGAAGTCTGCTTTAAGGAAATTTTAATGCTCTAAATAACTTATCCAATTTGAGCATATGTAACTGTTTCTAGTAACTATACATTGTATTAAATCTTTTAATGACTTCCCCTATTTTAAACAAAATATAAATTATTATTCTAAATGAAAGTTACAAAGTTTCACAAGAGCAGGTTTCTAAAAACAGCCTGAAATTTTTCATTTGGAAAATGTCATATGTTATTTCTTGTAATGCCCAGCTAAAATTTTAAACAGAACAAAATGAAAACACACTTCATACCATAATCATGTCATAAGTAAATTGTTTGGCAACAACAAAGACGACAGGTTGTGTTTTTGGCTGTTGTCTGGATTTACTGGGAACATATTTTTTCATCACAAAAGATCTGAAAGATTAATAATATGTCACATAATGGAGAAAAAAGGACAAAAGAGATATAACTGAATTATAACAACGTTTACTTATGCAACATTTTACATGCAGTTACAATAAGCATTTCATCATATGAAATTCAACATGTAATGGTCAAGAAATAGTAGAAAGCATAAAAAACTGTAAACAGCATCGTATGAGCTTGCTGTGAAGTCCAGGCAATGAAATGGAAGCTGATATATATTTATTTTTTTAATTTATAATAGCAATAATACAGCATTAACATTAAGACAAATCTTTCAACACATTTGTATTTTCCTTTCGCAAAACTCGAAATAGAAAGTGTCGATGCTATTAAACTGTTAAATATAAATCTTTTTTATTGCTCAGTTGCATAGCAGGATGATGGCAACCAAACCAAAATAGAAGAGTAGTCAGAGTCAAATAAATTTAAGGTCAAGCAGAGGAAATACCCAAAATTAATGAGCTCTTTTAAAGACACAGAATTAGAAATGAACAATTTTTTTTATGAGAGGAATTATTATTTTTAAAAGAAAAAACTGTAATGACAGATCACAGCCAATAGAACAGCTATAGTTAATGTCTACTTCAATAATGTCGATACATAAGCACATCTTTACATTTTGATTCCTTTTTTTTAGCATTGCTAAATGCATATTTAGTGACAACTGCAGTACTAGTGATACATTACAATAGTAATATTAATAGTTGTTGATGCAATGTATAATACCAATATAACAGGCAGACTGTGATGCTTTCATCATGTTTTGAGTTCAAGTATGAAGTAAAGGATAGCATTCTATTATACCATAAACAGATATAATTTTCATAATATTTCCTCTGGCTTGCATCATAATATACATAAGCTTTATTCATGACATCCCTTTTCTGATGTCTGTTCAGACTGGCCGTCTCGGGAGAGACAAATGTAAGTCCACACTGGTTAGGATAAAGCAGGTACATGTGGTGTTCATCAGATCATTAAGGTACTTGGTAAATGCATAAAAAAATCAGCTATCATAAAAGATTAAATGTTTTTAAAAAATCAAAATAACTGTCCTTTAATAGAGAACAATTGATTTATCAAAGGAAACAAATAAATCGCCATTCAATTATCAATAACTAAAACACCTGTGTATTGATATCCAAATCCCTGTCCCTTTTACAGCAGGATTTGTCAACTTGTAATCAAGTAAACAGCATATAAAAGCTGATGAATACACTTAAATGATTTAAATATTATCATATAAACACATATATGAATACATATAAGTCATAACATTTACCTTAAGATGGGATTTTCTATTATTTCCATTTTTTGTTGAAATTCTGAAAGTTTTGCTCTCAAAGACATAGATTGCAACAGGTCTTCCTCGTTGATTTCGGCTTCTGAATCACTTATATTCATATCTGTATAGAGAGACTTCAAGTCATCCAAGATTCTCCAACCTTCTTTGAGAATTGAATTTATTTTAGCAGTCATAGCTTTCGGTAAAACATTATTCTTCATATCAAAGTAGCTAAAAAATATAATAGATTAATAGTCAATACTATATATTTCTTATATCAGTTTGTAATTCATATAATGGCCCTTACTAAAACAGTGCAGAATTGACTGTATATTAATTTCATTAATATAAACTATAATTTGCTTAAAAAACAAGAAATACAGAGGGGAAACGTTCATTTGGCCTTTGGCAGCTAAGGCTAATGGTTCGGTGAAACCATTGAAACTAGTTCTGTAAAAATTTGCAAAATGCTGATTTTTGTTATTTGACTTCTAAATTAATACTTGTTGTGCATGTAATTTTACCTTGTAATTTTACCTTAATTATAAGGGCCTCAAATAGGTTTTTTTTTTTTTTTTCCTTCTTTTTTTTCCATGTGGTGTATTTGCCATTTTGACTCGTTCATTTACGCTTTGGCAGCTCAGGATGATGGTTCGGTAAAACCATGAAAACTAGTTCTGTACAAATTTGCAAATATAACGCTGATTATTTTTTGTTGGTCTTCTAAATTAATACTTGTTCAGCGTGTTATTTTAGCTTAATCTTAGAATAATCACTTAGGACACAGGGATATAGTGGGCAATCATCAAGAAGAAAATTCTTTGTCAACAAGGAAAGTACATCTGGTATTTGGAAAATTTATAGTAAGCAAAGTTTTATCAAATTGAAACAAGGTTATATTTTTAGAAAAATCAAAATTTAATACACCTGGGTGAGGTAGACAAATTAATATGTGGCAAAAGCCAAACTAAGAATTGAATTTGAGCAACCTATTGCCTAGTATTATATATGGGGTTAGAGGGGCACAACCAATGGTTTGGGATGTTATGCTAGCTTCAGAAGAAATTAAGTGTTTATAGAAAATAATATGAAGGAATTTCCTTCAGTTAATTGTGTTTAATATTTAACAAAGAATTGAAATATATAAATATTTTTAATAAAAACCTGAAGAACTCTGCAAGAAAACTTGGAATGTAAAATACAAAAAAGTTCCATCAAGCTAATGATTCTAAATATGCAGCTCTAGATTCTCGCTCGATTATTACACAAAGATCCTGAAATCTGCTAAACTGCTAAATATTCTTTGAGCTTAAATCCTATCAAAAATAAAAACTGAATTGAAAAAAAAAAAAAAAAAAAAAAAAAAAAAAAAAAAAAAATTTTCTTCAAAGTTCTACTAAGTAATTCTTCGTAGGAATGGAACATTCTTGTACCAAAAATTTAACCCATGAAAATTATCATTTTAGCTAAAGGATATTCAATGAAATATTGAATATCCCATTATTTTCATTGTTTTTATCAAATATAAACTGTTTGCATAAAGTGCCCAAAAACTTATGTGAAGTTCTCTTCAGAATTTAAATAAATATTTTTTTTTTTTTTTAATCAAAAGTGTTTGAATAACTTCTTTCAAACCAAGCAGGTTTTAAATAGATGATCATAGTATACCTAAAAAAAAAAAAAAAAAAAAAAAAAAAAAAAAAACATTTTGTTAATATTTGCAAATAGAAGTGAAAAACACAAGTGTCCAAAAACATTGTGAGCCACTGCATTATTTTCAGTTATGAAAATCTTATCATTTATAGATAAAAAATATTCAAATTGAATCCAAACATCTAGGATTTAGGCTGAGTGAAGCATAATATGATCAATTCTTCTAAAAAAATAAATTCCAGATACATTTAATTTAAACATTCTCATAAACTATAATAACTGGGAAGATAACAAAATAATTGAGAAGATAAGTTAACTCACTACATGAAACTGAATGCTTAACATTACAAAAATAATAATAATAAAAAAACTGTTAATGTCAATAATTTGGATTAATAAACTCCACTGCTATGGTTAGAATAGTACTGCCTTCATTTGTAAACATTTCCGAATTTATAAATCATTAAAATACTCATATGAAACAATTATAAATTGCTTCTAGGACATACTAAACAAGACACTCATAATAATATAACAAGGTGCTTGTAGTAGTTTAGTTTCCAGATTCCTATTCACCAAGATATCAAAGGAAAAAAAATTTATAAATCCATGAAATTACAAACCATCATGTTACTAAATTTAAATTAATAAACTGAATTTCAATTTAGTACGTTTCCCAAATCATAAACTTCAATTTACCAATGAACTACAAGAAAGCTCCAATTCATTATTTGAAGAAAGTTGAGTCTTCTAATGGAACAAATATTCCACTAGAAGTCATGAATTTAAGTGAAAATGAAATAACAGAGCATCGAGAAACAGCAAAATTTCATGATGAACACTATATGTTACAGTCTAACACCACAAAGAAGAATTTATCACTAAAAATGTTAAAACAATTTAGAATGTAAAACATTATAGAAATTAAATGATTCTGTTGCATAATACATGATGTCAGATATTTTTTTACAAATCATAACAAAATTGCAGACGTTAAAAAATTATTAGGATACATCATAAATTAAATATTTCAATTTATGTTAATCAGATATATTATTAAAATTGTGTCAATCTAAGGAATTTTTTGGCCTAATTTTACATCTCATTATAATATTTTCATGTTCATGGTACTTTTACATTACATTAGTCACTGTGAAAGAAAGTTGTCATCTCCATGATATATTGCCAAAAATTACTGCAGGCTGAAAACTAGCTCTACTTTACAACTCCTGCAAATAACCTATTTCGCCAAGAAAAATGTTCTATGTATCACAGAAAAACTGAAAATATTCTTCATGCTTTTAAATGCAAAATACATTATCAATTTTCAGTTTGCCAAGAAATGATAAAAACGCAATATTTTCTCTCTTCTCTCCCTTTGAAAGAGATATTTTACCTTGTAACACACTATGTAAAATTAACCCTAAATACACTTATATATTAAGAAAGCATTTGGAGTTGCAACATTAAAAGCTGTAGACAGAAAAAGGCCCTAATGTTAGAAAGTGGTTTCACGGTTCGCAAATATCATTTCTAATAATAGTGTTATAGTTTATTCACTCTTAAACAAAAGTCATGCGCATCAAATGAAGTAAGAAGCATTAATATAACAAGTAGCAAATATTGACTGGAATAGTTACATAACAGAGAACTGCATTTCATAAAGTAATATGAAAACAAATGGGTATCAAAGGTACCTGTAAAGATCATTTCAGTGTTTTTTGTTTGATGATTTTTTTATGCGACACATTTTATGCCTACTATGCCCTCCCCCAATAATGGCCACCATAAAATATAAGTACCTATTTCCCTACAATTCTCTAATTTTTCAAACACAATACCATTTGAAGTAATAACTAAGAATAAAATACCGAGATGCTTCAAAAATAAAAGTAATGTTCTGAAATATTAAACTCTTGTTTTTCTAATATAAATTTATAAATTTAATCAATTTTTTGCTGCTTTTATAAGTCATTGGCAACAACACAAAATTCTCAAATAAATGTTATTAACAATAAAAGGAAATTTTATGCCAATATTCAATTAATTAGATGAAAAGAGCTCTTACAACCAAAATTAAATTTTGGAAGTTTGGTTAAAATGTGCAGCTTCTTCATAAGATAAGGAAAAACAGATATGAAGACAAAATTAATATCATTGAAAATACAAAAATTCAAATAATTAAAAAAAATTCTTATACAAAACTAAAGAGAAATGAATGTACAAATTATATAAATATACTACGCTCATAGGTTGATTAAATTACAAAATTGAGAATCTGCTTTTTTGTATATATATATTGAGAAATTTTAAAAAATCATCTTATAACAATATTCATGAAAATGGCAGTTTCATAAGACCTCACAAGATTATCTTATTTCAGATGTCTAAACATTATTTTGCTTTTTTCTATGTGCTCTAGTAGCAAAGTTTTGATTAAAACTTTGGTACTAGGAGTGGTACTAAACTTTGGTATGTGGGAAACAATGTCCTGTGCAACAAATAATTCGCCTAGTGAATGGCTCACTGGAACAGACTGTGCTGTATGAATCATCATTATATAATTTTCCTTTCATGGCCTGAAAATTGCAAAGCTCTTCAATTATACAACAATACTGTACGCATTTCTGGTCTATTGTATTATTTTTAAAACAGAGAGATATTTCTGATAATTCTTAAAGAGTTTTGAAAAATTCAGATTCAAGCAATTTTTATTCAAAAGCAGAATTTCATCTGCTTTAAAGAACTTAATTTCAATTGTTAAACAATCACAACTATTAACTTAATTAACTAAACAATTCTATATTACAATGAGGAAAACTTACAGCTGCAAACGGGGCTTAAGAACTTCTTCACTATATTTAATATCCTCTTCGCCATCCCAAGGCCGTGATAAATGGTTATAAAAAAATCTTAAAAGAAAATTAATGTCTTAAAATTTTATAGCAATTCAACTTTTCAAAAATACATTAAAATTTCTCTAAGCATATTTATATTCTTTCAAGTAGAACTTACACATAGTTAAGATACACTAATTTTTGCATGCATGACATTATATACAAACTTTTAAAACAGCAGTTACACAGATTGCGGCCAAGTGGTTATTATTAACCAAATAAACTGGTTAAAACAAATAATTTATGAGAACTTATCTTATGAACAGGTTGTTATTAATAATTTTCAACAATGAATGGCAAACGTAATAATTTTCAACACTACTTCAGTTTGAAATTATGTGTGTATGTTTTCCGCATCAATGCCTTACTATTGTGCAAGTGTATGAGAGCTATTGTAAATGCTCAAGTTTGCTTTTGCCTGTTGGTAATAAGAAACAGAATTATCTAATTGTTTACTTTACATGGAGCCTCCCAGACAGTATAGTGGTTAGGGAAGCCTGATACCGAAGGGCCTGGGTTCGAATCCCGGAGAAGGCACGGTTGTAACTGTCAGTCCCTTCAAAGGAAGTGATGGTGGCCCACCTATTAGGTGCCTCCATAATAAAGAGACTACCGCATCTGGCCTTGTATAGATTAATGGGCTGCGTGGTTAGGGAAACTGACTGCGATACCGAAGGGCCTGGGTTCGAATCCTGGAGAAGGCACGGTTGTAACTGTCTGTCCCTTCCTAGGAGGCAATGATGGCCCACCTATTAGGTGCCTCCATAATAAAGAGACAACTGCATTTGGCCTTGTGTAGATTAATGGACTGGGTTACATTGTAATTGTTCACAATCTGCCATTGGAATAATAAAAGAAAAAAACTTTAGATGGAAGAGCCTGCATTTTTTAGGATGTTCACGAATACTTTGCTCTTAACAGTTTTGAGTGTTCTATGTGCTACTGAGTGTGAACTTGGTGTTACTTTTGGTAAGTTGCTAGTGTGCACATAACTATTGTGAAATTTCACAAATTTTTTTTGTATTTGTAAGTATTGTCGATTTCAAAATTGTAAAGTTGTGTTTTAACGATTATTTAGAAATCTTAAAATTGAAAAAAGGAAAAAAAAATATCAGTTATATACCAAAGAAAAGTTTCCTTCTTAATTATTTAGTTAAGAAAAGCAATGCAAAGTGTTCCACCAAATCACAAGATTATCAGCAACTATCAAGATATGATACTGTAAGAATTTGTAGTATTGCAAAATTTATCGTTTCTGTTAAAAATGAAAAAGACTATTATACTTTTATGGAAGAGGATTTTCAAATAATTCATGAGATTCATATTGCAATCATCCATGAAGGAAGAGACAGCATGATGTTACGAGTTGAGACAAAAATATTACAGTCAGAATTGTAATGACACTTTTAAATCTTTGTGAACTTTATTAAAAGTAAAGTATTAAAAGTAAACTCCAAGTAAAGTTCTTGTTGTTAAGCCAATTAAAAGCCGTGAACTCTTGGTTAAAAGCCATGAACGTGGTATCTTGCAAAGAGACAATGGCAAAAAATTTGCCGTTATCTACTCAGTTTGAAACAAACAACACAACGAAGTCATCAGAAGGAATAAAAATTCATTCAATTCATGAAAAATACAGCACACAACTATGGTACACATTGCAGTTCATACAAAACTAAATTTAGCTCTAAAGTGGAAGCTATTGGCTAGTTCATTGCTTTGACACTAAAGACAAATGAAGATCTTGCTCTATTAAGAAATCAATGTAACAATGATGTCCAACATTAGACAGTAATCTCAAAGGAGGATGAGGATGTAGGTGTAATGAATGACAGCAGTATGGAAGAAGTGGATTTTTTGAGAGAAGACTTTCAAGTAATAATTGTTGCAGGTCCAATTAAAAAAAAAAAAAAAAAAAAAAAAAAAAAAAGAAGAGTAATTAGGGCAAGTAGAAGAGGAACAACATAGTTTTGAAATTAAGAACAGTGATTAATAAGAAAATGATTCTGCCAATGAACAGCTGATACATATCCAGCTATCAACCCCAAATAACCCCTTGATCATCTTCAGTCCCATTGGAAACTCCTGATCTAGAAAACTGGAAAGATCATTCATAAAAATATTGAAGACAAGCAGTCTTAAAAATAGATCCCTGCAATACATTAACATTTATTAATTTTACATAAGTGTGTGGTGCAAATGCACATCCAAAATGACCTGCTGTTGATATAATGTCGAATTAATTTAATGAAAATACCAAGGCATCTGATTATAACCATTTTTTTAAGACTGGTTCATGCACTAAAAGCTTTTCTAACATCTATGCAGCATGCTGCAGCAGTTTCTTTTTTCTTAAAATATAGATTAAATAAATTTTAAATAAAATAAAATAAATTTTCTTAAATTCTAGCACAAAAATCTGGGAGTTTCCAAGAAGCTTCTGCACTGCATGACACCATTTCAAAAGAACTCCCAACTGACTTAAATTTGCTTTATAATACATGATTCAGACCATTCAAATATTTATAATATGATTGATATAAAATTTAACAATTTTTAATTCAATATTCTATATTTTATGTCCTTTGGTAAATTTTATTTTATAATTTTTTTATACTTTCAAACTGGGGAAAACCTGAGTAGGAAATGAAATTTTTAATTTATCAAAGTACTTTTAAACATTATGAAAATAAAATTAACTATTCATATACATACTATTGTGTGTATAAACTAAACAATGAATCAATAAATGATACTGATATAAAACTAAATTAAAACAAATATTAACTAATTAAACATTAGTTAAAACTTCTTAAAAAGTTCTACAAATGTTTACAGTAGATTAAAACGAATGAGATGAAATAAAACTGAGAAAAATTAGGCTGAAAAATCACAAAGAGGTGGGGGAATGGAATGTACACAATTTAAGTTTCATTAAAGCAATAAAATCTCATTTACTGTTGAAAAATGCTTTCATATAAACAATTTAAAAAGTAAAAACTGGAAAACTGGTGATCTACCAGATGTGGTAAAAAATGAGTTTCATGGTAAAACTGTAAGACTTGGCAGGTTAAGTTATATAATTCATTAACATATTCCACAAGATTTAGAACTTAGTTCTCAGCTAAGAGACCCTTTATAAATTTCACTAAGTATTACTAATTAGATATTTTTCAATAAATTTATTTAGCTTGTTGTGAATTAATCTCTCCAAAGGTTTCCAGAGATTCAGAGAAGTTTTATAGCATAAAGGTTAACTTTTAGAAGACAGAAAATCTTGGAAAGATTTCACTTAAAAAGAAGGCAAATAGGAATGCACTTCCTAACCCTCCCCATTTGAGTTGGGATTTTATTGAAACTTTGAATTTAGGGGTCGTCTTTGTTAATTTTCAGATAAAATACCAAGTAACACAAAGGAATTTTTTCTCTTTCCTGCTAACTCTGATCCCTTTTTAATATAGTTTAGAATTATATGTACTGATTTAAAATTTTAATTTCTACATGAAAATATTTTTTTTTTTTTTTTTTTTTTTGCATAAATCAGCAATTCACATCAATTTTTGATAAAACTTTACCAGTAATTTTAGCTTTATATATATACATTAACCAAATCACCTAGCATTTTTGTGGTATTAACATCTTTTTGTTTTATTCATTTAAGTATTCTCGTTTAGTTTGAAAAAAAAAAAAATTATTGATTTTTCCCCTTTGTATTGTAGTAAATATTTTATCATTCAAATTATATCACAGTTCATTTTTCTTTCTTGCATTTTTATGATAATAGCTCTCTTTTTTTAATGTGTGTATGCTTTTTAATCCTTTTGCTTAAAAAAAAACATTTTTTATTGATTATATTATCGTATTACACTGCATTTTGCATTTGCAAGTTTTTTTAGCCGTACTGACATTACACTGTTGAGGGCAAATAAAAGGGAATCAACACAACTGTGAGTAGCATGAATGTCATCAAGACAATGATTATCCTCAAAGCCAGAGAGGTAAGGGGATGGAATTTTTGTGGCGACAACCATCTTTTTGAGACATTGTAACTCTGATCTAATTTCCAGTTGCCATCTTCAAAGCATTAATATTTAACTTTTCCATGTTTTTTAAAAGAATAATTATTGCAAGTTTCCCCCAACTTCTAAAATACCTTTCCAGATATTCGCTGTAAATTTTTTAATAAAGATTTGTTACATTCTTAGGTAATGTTTTAATGGCTTTATTATTATTTTTATCATGTCTATGTGCCTTATTATTCCTAAGTTTGGAAATACTGAAGATTTTTATATGTAAAATATAAGTGACTTTACCTTATATGAGATTTGCAATAAAATTATCTAAGAGTGGCATAACATCACAACAAACACTGAATGACACAGCTTTAAATGAAGTTCTTTAAATATGTAAATAAAAACCAAAGCATGTGCAAGGAGTGGCTGTTCTAAAATACTTTTTGTTGTTGTTAACATAATCATTTAGTGTCATCAAACTTAATTCACTGGATATCAAACATTTCCTTTACCTCCCCTTTGTACAATCACAATAGTAAATTAGCCACTAATAAGTTAACTGACTGTAAGTTAAAAAATTCTATAAAATTAAACAATACAAATTTTTAAAGATGAATTTATTCATCGCTTTTTTTATTCATAGTTTTAAAACAATTTCCAATTAATGAATCTTTTTTACTAAAACGGAAATATTTTTTTAACCAAGCTAAACTATCCCTTCAATATTTGAGTTAACTTGAATATGATGGTGCCAATTATGAAATGAAAACTATCATCTCAATCCGATGGCCAGAAATTTAAATCCGATACACACAATGCAGAGTTTGTAATGTTCAAACCACTTATTTACAGCTGAAATTTTTCTGTAGAGCAAAAAGTAGCAAACTATCATAAACTTAATAAAATTCAAGAATTCAAAGCAGAAGCTCATAATAATAAATTGCAAGTTTGTCAGCATTAACTGGGATAGCATCAAGTTAGTTTTAGTATATTTGTTTTCCTACTGCTAAATACCACAGGGGGAGGGGACTGCAAATTTTCTGTTATTCATTTGTACTTTAGTATGGCCCTAACATAGCTTTCCCAAATAGTAACTATATTTTTTTGCTAATAGTTTATTTAATTAAAGAAAATCGCTACATCACACACACATATTGCTAGTAGTGGATTCTGAGCTTGCAGTGATGCTGTGGAAGATGTGGAACATATTTTATTGCATTGTAAGTCGCATGCTAGTGCCAGAAGTTCATATAAAGTGAGTTAGAGCAGCTCTCTATTTGCTGGCCTCCTCCTGTTTTCTACGAACTTGTTAGGAACTCCGAAGCTTTTGCAGCCTTGCATGATTTTATTTGTTCTTTGAACTTTTAGTATTATTATTTACAGGACTGGATGTGTTTTTGTAGTTTATGTATGATTACATTATGTATTGTACTATTGATGTGTCATTTTTCCTTTATCGGTAATTTTTTAAAGTATTATTTCATCTTTATTATTGTATTCAGTTGGTTTATTTTCTTTTATAGAAGTATTAACATAGTTTAATTATTCATCGTATACTGTTACGAATTTTGTACTTAGATGGGCAATTTTAGTAGAATTATAAATAAAATTCTTGTATTTTCCTGTGTAATGTAGCACGAGACAAATTTTATGAGAAAGCTATGCCAGAAAAGTAAGAATACAGGGGCAAGTGCATTTAACATTGAGTAAATGGGTATATCAGTAATTTGGCGAGATATTATCAAGCTGACAATAGTTTTGGTAACCATTTGGTGACTTTTCAGTCTGGTCCCTGTATCACCTGTACTGAAAATGAAATGTAATTGACCACTATATTAGTAGTAATTGTAATTCTACACCCTTATTGCTGTCCGGTATTTTCGAGACATAGAAAGTACCAGAAAAATCTTAGCGGCCGGAGAGAGAGCATCCGAGTTCAGTTGCTTAGTTATTGTTGTTGCAAGTTGTTAAGTTTCATGTGAACTGAGATATGCAAGTTAGCTTTCTCTTTATATGCGCTTTGCATTGAGTTGTGTTAAGTGTGTAGTTTGAAGTGTAACTACTGATTATACTCCATGATACTGTGAACACTTGTACGGGTATTTCTGTGGAAAATTCCAGAGTTCTGAAGTATTTCTTTTGATAAAAATTAATTTTAGTAACCTATTATCGGACTTGTGCATTCAATCTATTACGAGTCCATATGCATGCAACAATATTTTAGTATTTTTATTATAATAGTGTTTGTATTTTATATTTTTAATTTTCTCTCTCCAGACCTAGATATTATTATTATTATTATTATTTGTTGAACTGTATCAGGGTTCATAGCCACATTTTAGTTAAAAAAATAAGCACCTATAAGCACTTTTCAAGCACATTTTAAGAAAAAATAAGCACCTGTCTAATTACATCACACACAACTGCATAACCTTAAAAATTAGACTTGTAATTTAAAATATGAGAAATGAAGTACTTAGTAGAGAGAATAAGCATTACCTCAACTATGGAAAATATTTTTTTTTTTTTTGTTTTTAATTTTAAATAATAGTTCAATTTACAGAACTACTTTACAATGAGAGAAAAAAAAACTATGAAGAACTAAACTATATTACAAGATTTAATGATGAAATTTCAGTTCAAAATAGAGAAAATAAATAATAATAAGGCATATTTACTGTATTCGCTTGGAACCTAATATTAAATGCAATTTATTTTTCCACTCATATTGATATTTAAATAATTTAAATCTAAATTCTGAACATTTTCTAAATTTTCATTTTATATCAGTTTTATCTTAACAGATATTGCAAGCAAAATAATTTAAGTAAAAAAGAGGAACATTTCTGAAATCAGAAAACAGAAATTTGCTTCATGCAGTCATCTTTAACAGTAAAAGCTTAACTAACCCGCATACTTGGAAACTAGCGAATATTCGGACAGTCGAGCGTAACTTGAAGGAGCGGAAGCTGGGTAGCCGTTCTTTAGATTTTCCCGCTAAATAAATGCTTTTGACATTTCAATATGTGCATCATATAAAAATAAACCAACGGAACTAAAAAATATTCTGCTTAGCAAGCGCAGTAAAACTCTTTTAAGTGCTCATAAACAAATCTCGGACTGAACATCAAAATTAATTATCTCTGCAAAATATCGCAAACGTTATTGCGCAATACTTGCGCCGTAATTCTTCCCAACGTGATATTACGCAATCGGAATCAACAACTGCCGGTATTGGGAGAATAAGGAACTAAATAATTGGGGTGTTTTTCATTCTAATTTTCAACAGACGGCGTTAAATTTCCAGAATAGAATCATTATTCGCTTGGGTTGGTAGACCGCAGAACTTTTAGTCCTATTCAATCCAGATTGGAAAGTGACCTAAAAAAAAAAAAAAAAAAAAAAAAAAAAAAAAAAAAGGTGAGAAAGGGGAGACCTCCCAACCTTCGTACTGTATAATGTATTGGCCAAAAAAATGAAATTATTTTGGCTATTCGATTACTTTCCCTTTATTTAAGCCATTCTGAATATTATTCCTTAGAAAGCTAATCTGTGTTAAAACGCAACCATTTTTGGAAAGTTCACTATACTTCAGCAGTTACTGCAACTACGTTATTATAAACATTCATACATATGCTCATAATATACGCATAACGATCAGAATAAACACGAATATGAACTGACCAAGCAGAACGAGAATGCAAATTATTAAGATCTTGATAGAAATTCAAACGTGTGTAGTATTTGGATGGGAGAAAAAGAATGCCGAGTGTAGCGGAATTTTCTACTGCTTTCACAATTCTTTGACCAACAGAATGATGGGCACCTGTCTTTACTCTTCGTGCACACCAAAGGCTATGTTAATGCAGAGAAAGGGGGAAAAAGCTATTTCTGGGAGTATGACTCACCATCTGACATTCCATATTAGGAAGAAAAGTTGTTTTTTCAGTCTTGGCTTTGGTACGAGGAAAAATAGCGCGTTCATTAAAAAAAAAAAAAAAAAAAAAAAAAAAAAAAAGCACTAAAAGCAAAAAATAAGCACTAAAAACAAAAAAAAATAAAGGCTTTAAAGAAAAAGTAAGCACCTATAAGGGCCTTTATATTTTATTTCCAAATATAAGGACTTATAAGTACTTATAAGGACCGCTACGAACCCTGTGTATCTCCTTGTACTGTGAGTTATTTACTTACATCTGTAAGCCTCATAGAATACTTCGTGGAACACAAGGAGTTTTGTATTTGTTTTCTTAATTTATATAAAAAAAAAGGGGGGGCACGCTACAAAATTATGAAAAATGAAATCTTATATAAATGTGAATTATTAAATAAAAATAAGTAATGAAAAGTAGTAATAATAAAGTAATAAAATAAATAATCAGTAATAATGAAAAAAATTTTTGATCTACATTGACAGTTTTTACAGTGTAAATTTGGATACAAGACAAACAATATAAAATTTTAATTAAAAAAAAATCTTAATATCTAACTGGTAATTGTTACATTAAATACACATTAATGATTTGCAAACATTTTTCAGTTTTCTAAACCAGATCTACATATCATTAATTATAACTGGTAAGTAAATTTTAAAAAAATTATTTGGCAAAATAGCATACCTTACACGTTCAATAGCAACAGCAGTTTTTGCATATAATTCTTCCTCATCATCTTCACTTATAGTATACAGTTCTACTAATGGAACTGTAAGCAAACGATCGAATTTCACTTTTTTTAAATCGGGTATTTCAGTGGAATTCCCAATAATGATAGACTTTACATAAATATCAGCTTCTAATTTTTCTAAGCTTACATTAACCACCTGCCAAAGGAGAAAAATAATCATTCGACAAGTTGGAGTAAATTATTTGCAATTATACAATCTCTAATTTAAAAAAAGTAGTTATTTGATGGCAATTATAATAGTGATGATGATTGAAATAAAGTTGATGATTGATGTAAAGTTCTTCACTGATGAAAGAGGAAATTTATCCGCAATAATTTCTAATTGTTCCCAAATACCAACAAAATCAACTTTGAACCCTGATAAAAGATTAACCAAATATTTCTTTCCATTAAATTAATCTTTCAAATGCATCAAAAAAGTTAAAAGTTTTATGGAAAAATAACACATGAAGAATAGTAACAAACAAATTAGAAAAAAGATTTTAAATTCTGTTATTTAATATATGCAATAGGTTACAGTTGCAGTATTCAAATTTTTCAGTTTAGGTTTTGAAATATTCAGCTTTAATTTATATTTAAAGTAAAAGGTGCGACTTTAAAATAAGTTGAATCACCCTTAATTCGATAATAGGAATTGCCCAACATATTATGACATGCACGAGACATTCTTCCACATCTCTGCTAACACTTACAAGTGTGTCTCAACACTTCTTGGCATATGTCCGTTCATGCAGTAGCTTTAGAATGTACTAGAGTAATGCATAATGAACGTAAGGAGTCAATATGAAAACTGTGTTCTTTCAAATCATGTAAAAGCAGAACAGAAACCACAAAATGTTGATTATGTATGAAGATGCAGCTACACACTGAAAGAAAGGAACATCATTTTAAGAACATTTTTTAAGGAAAAATGTTCCCTTAAAAAATGCCTTCCTAATGAAAGAAAGGAATACTTTTTAGGGAAAGGGGGAACCAAGATGAACATCAGCATGGGTTACCAATGAAGAACAGAATGGTGGCAGATAGCCATAGAATTCATGAGCTACTGATGTAAGAATGGCATTTAACAATCTCGACAACATTTCTGGGAGGTTTGTCCTTCACCACCTAACTGAAGAAATAAAAAATGAAATCATGTGGCTTTATCAGCATGACAGGTAGTGATGTCTTGTTTTTTACAGACCACTGTAATTAGAAAAACACAGTGCTTCTAATACTACCCAGAAAATAAACATCAAAGCGCAGAATAAGATTCCTTTCTTGAGAAAACAATCATTCATAAATGAATTTTATATTTAGTCTATATTTTATGTTGCCCCTTGGATTATGGCCAAGTTGTTGTTTCATTTATGGTAATATGAGTAGTTGAATGTTTATGGAAACCCTGTTATGACGTGATTAGTTGTGCGAGTCCGGTAAATTTGAATGATGGGAAAATATTTGTAAGGACTTATTTCTGGGTTGGATGTCAGTTAGGAAGTACATTGTTTATTTTGTGCTGTACACTGTAAAATGTCTGTATGCGGCAAGATTAATCTGAAGTTTCTGTACGATTTGGAATGAAAGGGAAAAAGAGAATGAATTGACTGGTGTGTAAATGAAGATTTACTTAGTCATTATAAGTGTCCTGTTTGTAAGAAGGAAATACGTATGGTCAAACGTAAAGATCATTCAGATGGCTTTGACTGAGTTTGTTACAAGACAGGTTCATGCAAGAAATGCCATAGACAGTCCAGCACTACGGAGAATATTTTTTTTTCTCTTATTTTTGTGAATTTATGTGGTGACAGCTGTATGCATATTCTAGTTCAGATAATTTTAGAAAATTTTTGGATTCTGTTAAGGAATTTTATGTACCACAGACTGAAGACACAGAAGTTTCTAAATATGGTAAGTTGATATTTCCTTTTTGTAAAATGTCTATATGCAATAAATTGCATTTCCTTTATGTTATTATTTCATTGTGTGATTTCAAATGCAGTTTACTGAGCTTTTATTGGCTATAAATTTTGTTCAGTTTTGGTGATGAGTAACTTTGTTTTAACATTATACGACATCATCATTCTCCCGATTTTTTTTAAACTGAAAATAGATCAATGTGCACATGAACAAAGTCAAGGGAGTGTGCAATGACGAGTTTGTGCAATTGTTTGTTTTTCTAAGTGAAAATAGATTGATGTGTACATGAACACTGAGTTTGTCCAATTCTTTGACTTGTTATTTTGGTTTTGTGTAACGGCCATTTTGAAATTTTGCCTTGCTGGCCAATTACTAATTTTTGCCATGGGGCACCCTGAAATATATTTTTACCAATTTTATGAATCATTTACATATTAAAAGGCAAGAAACATTACTTTGAACAAAACATAACTTATAGTACTTTTTGGTTATGCACCTGCCTCACATTTCTCAAGATCTTAATTGTAAACAATTTTTAAGTATAAGAATAGTTTACAGATTGCAAACACACACACACAGGGCATGGTAAGTAAGTAAGATCTAATGGCCAACAGATCATCACCTGCCATGCTACAAAAAGCAGAGCAGGTATATAACAGAAAAGTACCTGATTTATTTACAAGAGTGAAGGTTACTATTCATATACCCATAACTCAAAATGCAGGTTCATATGAATTTTAGGTTTCACATTCTATTTACTCAAGTGATAAAGACACACTGTTGTCAGTTTGTTCTAACAAATATTGGCATGAAAGGACTGTGGTTAACCAACAGCTTGAACTGTTGGCACAGAAAGCGCTTGTGAAAAATAAATTCGATATGTGTGCAAGATATACATATGTACATGTATCTATCTATCTATCTATCTAGCTATCTATATATAGCTGACAACCTTGAAATATGAAAAACTAAGAGGTTTGATTGCAAAAAACAGTAGTCTTTGGAAAGTTTTTATGTTACACAGCAGAATTATTTCAGAAATTCAAATGACTTAAATTAATTTTATAATGCATGATTCAGGTTACTGAGCTATTGATTCGGATGCAAAATATTAATCTTTAATTCTAAATTTTGTGTTTTTTGGCTCATTTTAATTTGTGATTATTTTTTATATTTTTACACTAAGAAAATAACCAAGTAGGAATTATGTTATTCACAATTTGATGGCCCTAGGTACTGATATTTTTTCACAATGCGATGAACATACATGTATGCAGATTCACCATGATTTAATTTATTTAGAAATAATACAAGGGGATAATATTTGGTGACACCAAACTGAAAAATGATACAGCTGTTTACAGTGGACTACACAAAATCACATTTCAAGGCTATTCAGCTATTTGCTCATTCAAGCTAATGCCCTTTTAGACATAAAAAAAATGTAAGATTACCAGATTACAATCATTATCTAACAATGAAATCCTTAAATTCAGTAATCCCCCTGCACTTCAACTATAGAGGATAGTCTTCTCAACTCACATTTAATAAACTAAAAAAAAATATAAGCAAAAAACAGCTTTCATTGATAGAGATAATCATTGTACACAAAAGTAAAATACTATAATTTGGTTAAAATAAGATAATTCTAAAAAATTATGAAGCATTATGATTATTGCCTTTATCTTATATTACTAAAGAGTACTTATTTATTATCGCAACCACTTTAGTATAAATTGCTAAATTTTCAAAAGTCGCCAAACTCTGCAATCATGCACATAACAGTTCTTTAGGTAACTGTATCCATTGTAAGTTGCAGTCTGAAAATTCAGAGAATCGCCTCTTTCTTCTGTAAAAAAGTCTCAAACTGCACCAAGGTAGTTGCACTAATATGCGAGTACTTATAAATGTTTTAGTTATAGGATTTGTCATTTGAATGGCTTCTGATTTAAAAGATGGATTATTAAGAAAATCATGAATATACAAATAATAAACAATTATATCAAAAACTCCTTTCCAGTGCCAGATCTTACTAACAGCTAATTAATTATACACAATAAGGAAATATTTCTAAAAATTAATAAAAAGTCATACCTCAACAACAAAATCATATTCAGAATCTAATATTGATGACTTTTTAGTCGACCTCCATACAGCTTTCCAACCAACTGGCTCAACAATAGTTGTGACATAAAAAACTAGAACTGACTCAGCATCAGAAAATGAAGAACCTTCAAGAATTTCACAATAGGTCTGTAAAACTTCTTCAAATGGAAGGGTATCTATGTCTGCTTTATATACTTCTGGAGAGGAATAAGAGATAAATAATTCTGTCTCTAAATCCATAGTAGTTGCAGACCTGTAAAAATTATTTTTTCATTATTATAAATCCTGAAAACACCCGATTTATAAAATTCAACATAAACTTCATACATAAAATTGAATAATTCTTCCTTTTATTATTATTTTTACTATTAAATGACTGCACACATAACCTGATTACACTGATATTGCATAGGTATAAAAATTTTCGACAAGTTACGACCTGTAACATTTCCTACAGTATATTTTAAATATGAAAAAAAATATTCAAGTATCTGAACCAAAAAAGATATACCTTATACGCTAATACATTTTCTAAATATAGTAAAAATATTTTTAAGGGAAATTTTATGAGTTCAGACAGCGAACATGAACCGAGTAACATATAAGAATAATTACTAAATTCTTAAATATTTATAAGCAGCACATAACAATGATTTAAAAATACAACACACAGCTCAATAAAGTTTATATTCAGCATTTTACAAAAAATATGATGTAATTAAATGCATACAGAAAATAATAAATGCACGAACGATAACTTCCTATACCGTATAAGCAATTCAAATGTGATGTTTTTAAATTTGGCGAATTAGACGATGAGTTGACATGAGTTTAGGTAATTTGCAGCTGCTTTTAAAGAAAAAAGAACAAGTTGTCAGAACAAGGACGAGTTTGCAGAGTTCTAAATATTCTGCAAAATGGATTGTTACTAATATTAAAAATATCTTTATAAAAGATTAACATATATTTTAACAGTTAAGAAGTTAATTCAATGAATAAATGATCCGTTTTTGAATGAATACAAACCACTAGTAGTAACAACTGCACAGAAAGAGAGCAGTTTCATAAAGAGCGATAAAGGTCAAAACCATCACTCGGAATCAAATGTAGATGCTGAAAGAAATGCATTCAGCAAGCGATGTAGAGCAATGTTAAAGGGCTCGTCTTTTAAAGCTGTATACTAAAAATCTAGGAGATTTTTAACATTTTTTAAAATCTGGGAGATTTTTAACGGTCGCTTAAAAAGTTCTTTAAAGATTTTTGTGCTAACGCTGAGGCTTGCAGTCTACAGCTTTGCTTTTGCTCTCACTTGTGCTAATTTTCTTCTTTTTTTTTTTTATCTTCTTAGCTCTACTATTTAGCATCGTTTTTCTTCTCACTTTCGCCAAATACAGTTCAACCGCAAAATTACAAAAAATTCAACCGCAGCATATGTTTAGAATTCCGGTTGCAGTGTTAAGTGTTGACAGGGGAATACGTAGCTAGAGATTCCAGCGCCCGGGGACAACTGAAGAATTTGCACTCCTTTCTGTGGGAAAAGAGTGGAAAACATTTCATTAAAAAATTAGCATCAGTGTTGGAGACAGCTGCTGCATGCAGACGATTACTTAACGGCTGGGTGAAGTCGACAGAAGAAGCGCCGCATTTGATTGGACTATTTTTTATTATTATTATTTTTTTCTTTAACTGCGAACTAAGCGGGGAAATTCCCTTTTTACTCAGTTATGAATGCACTAGTTAGAGTAATGTAACGTTTTCAGCTTGTGTGAGATATCCATATCAAATCTTTATATTAATAATCCCTGTTGTGATTATTTAATTTGTAACCTGCACGGTGTAGCCCTGAGAGTTGCAACATAGTAAATCTGGCGTCCGCTACTTTATATTTTTGGATGAAATATGGATATAAAAGTCTTGAAAGCAAAACGAAAGTTGCTGAGAACAGCATTTACGATATGCTGCAACGATATAGTTTCAGAAGATCGAAAACAAAAGTTTAAAAAGTGACGAAGTCAGTACGTTGTTTAAACAGATTCAAGAAAAATTCACACGTTTGGGAGCAACTCAAGAAGAAGTTTCGAATTTGTTGCTAAGTGATGATGTCCTTAAGTCGAATATTCCGATGATTTTTTGAAAGCAGAAGAATATCGAGACAAGTTCTGCTTCATTTGTTCGCTGTTAGAAAGTGCAAAGAAGGAAAATTCGGTTACGGAAGGAACAACAACCGAGCAAAAAAGGAAATTCAAGCTTCCGAAACGTGAATTGAGGAAATTTAGTGGAGAACCGAAAGACTTTCTTTCCTTTTGGTCCCAGTTTGAAAAATATTCACAAAGATCATTCTATTGTGGATGAAGACAAATTTCAATATCTGTTACAATGTGTGGTTGCAGATTCTAATGAACTTTTGGTTCAGATTTATGTACGGGATCTACTTTCCATAGTAATGAAAAATGCTGCTAGTCGGATTAAAATAGATTTAACTGTATGATTAAATTGAGAGCAAGCTTATGGTACTCGAAAGCCTCGGTAGAACTAAGGAAAAATTTGCAGAATTTTTGGAACCACTTGTTGAGTCCTGTTTACCCGAGACTGTTCTTCGTACGTGGGAAAGAAGCCGCTCGATAGAAGATACTGCGTCACAGCAAGATAGTGCGCGTTCTTTGGATAAATTTTTGTGCTTTCTTCGAAACGAAGTACAAAGTGAGGAAATGATTAAGCTCGCTCGTACCGGGTTGGGAGCTTCACGTTCTGCACATTTGCGTCCAAATTGTGATGATCCGGGTTGCTTTACAGCTGCTGCCTTGATAAATTTCAAGACAATACAGGTAGGCGAAATTTACGTTGTATTTTTTGTGCGAAATCCCACAATTCTGCCGAATCTTCATTCAGATTCCAATGATTCTTCAAGTGACTCTAGTAATATCCTGCAAGGTGCTAAAGTGTCAAGATTTGGACGTGTGATTAAGGTGCCTCAGAAATTATATCTCTTCGATCAGGTACTGTATGTCTTTGAGCCAACCTGAAGTCGACTCAAAGAGGGGAAGAATGTTGGAGACGGCTGCTGCAGACAGATGATTACGTAATGGCTGGGCGAAGTCGACAGATGGAGCGCCGCATTTGATTGGACTATTTTTTATTATTCTTAATTTTTCTTTAATTGCGAACTAAGCGGGAAAATTCCCTTTTCACTCAGTTATGTATGCACTAGTTAATTTGAAACCTGCACGTTGTAGCCCTGAGAGTTGCAACAATCAGTTTGGCGCCCCTTGGATGCTGTGCCCGGGGACAGACGTCCCCCTTTCCCCAACCTAGCTACGCCACTGAGTGTTGACATTCATTTCTCTAAATTTTTCAGTCTTCTCTTAGTTCATCATATCAATGTTCAGTTTTCTGAGTGACATGATGGCTTCCAAAACCTTTTTTTTATTACTAATCTTTCCTGTGTTAAATTTATTTAATAAATATCACGTTCTCCGCCTTTACGCCACATAAAATTCAATTTAAAAGCAAAATCTTAAAATACTTAACATAAAATATTTAAAAACAACATATCTTTGGAATATTTTATGAATGGTATTGCACGTTGGAGATAAAAGGTTTGCCACTGCTCCCTTTCAAATAATTTAGTTTGTTAATCAAAAATTCATTAATTTTCTAGAATATGAAACCAATAATAATAAAAATTATTTTACATTCTATGAAAATACTGAAAGTTTTTATTTAGACTAATCATAAATTAAACACATTTTTGTTATTTAAATCAAGCTGATTCAAAAGTAAAAAACGAATATTTTAAGAACTGCATCTATTGCTTTCAAATAGCTTAATTTGTTAATCCGCAACAGACAGATTCAATTTGAATAAATATCATACATTCGAGTATATTGCCGAATGGCAACAGACTAGAATGAAAAGTGAAATGACGTATTTACAGTGGTTTGACTCAAAGTCGTTTTTCGAGATTAAAAGTCCTTTTGCGCTAATGAATAATTTTTTTTTTAGAAATGCAAGAATTATTCAGCTGCATTCGTGAAATTTATATTGAGCTGGACAAATCGGATATTCTTCAGAGAACAACCTTGGTGGCGCCAACTTACTCCTTCGTCGACATTGCTTTATGTCAACGGAAGTAAATATCATGTGAGGAATAGGAGCAAGGCCAACTAGACATCTAATTAGCCTTGATAGGAGCTAAGGAGAAAAGAAAAATATGTGGGGGAAAGGGGGATTAAGATGTGTTTATATTCACAAATTTTTTTTCTTGTGTTTATATTCACAATTTGTTTTGAGAAAAGTAAGCAAAATTCATAATTTTTTCTTACGCTAAGAACTTATCAATCAGGACTCAAATTCAGTTGAAGCCCATCAAATCCATTCTCCCATATATACACTACACCGCACAATGAACCAGGGCTTTATTTCTAAAATCAGATGTGCCGGAGCCTTATGGAAGGCCATCAGGAAGAAGAGAAAATATAAATTTAAAATGACTCATGATTAAAATAATTAAATTAAATTAAAATTAAATGAAACTAAAATTTAATAATTTTTTAATTCATGATAAATAATTAAATAAAAGAAATAAAATATCTGACTTCATCTTATCTGAAGCTCCGTCTGGAATTAAATTTCATTCAGAAAACTAGCAATAGCTTAGACGTTTCCCAGCTGAATTCAAGCCCTGAATATACGGCATAACGTACTATTTCGCTGGATGAGAGAAATAAAAACCATTCTTTTCCCAGCATACCAATACAGAAAAAATCAAACCACTAAAGCGGCACTAATGAGAACATAGAGAATGATGGAAAAAATACGAAAATATGAAAAGAAACTTTAGTGGAGAAATGTAGCTTTGAAAACAAAGAAAGAAGAGTCTTAATCTTTTTGACCGCAACGCCTTGCTATAATTCTAGCTGTCAAGCAGAATGCGATTGGACAAAAAAAATTTCCTATTTGATAACAACCTGAGAACAAATGTCAGGTCTGCAGAAATGAAAATTTGTGTCCCTCGTATTGGGTTGCACAATTCAAGTCTGCAGGAGCTCTGATGTGAGAGATCACTAGCGCTGGAAGTGCACAACCTGGGTAATCACTCTTAGTACAAGTACTTTCGGGAACATAACATTTTACCCGCTCGCATAAATGCATTGCACTACTTGTAAAATAAGCTTTTGACATGTAGATGAAAGATTTTCTTTCCTTAAAAGTGTTAACACCTTCTTCCGTCTTTTCCCCTAAGAAAGACAGGCTTGCATTCGGAAGTTATAATTGACTTTTAACGTATATTTATTTTTTAAATGAAAAATTTTTCCCGTTGCAACTGTGTTCCATTTACATAAAAAAATTGCCGGCTTGAATCACCATTTAGCTCAGAAACTGATAAGTACTGGGCTCCGGAGCAATTTAAGCTGTGCAATGAATACAAGCCAAGCTGTGCCATGAACATAAGCCATAATATTTATTCTTGTCATCGTCTATACTTTTCGATACCATCACTCTTCTTTTAGAGTAGGCCTTGGCCCCTTTTAGACTCGCGAATACACTTCCATTCCGCTCACATTCTTTCTAATTATGTTGTCAGAACCCAAAGCTGTTCTCCTTAAGTACACAATAGGGGTATACCATGATACTGCAATTTTTATTGCACTGACGTTTATTCAAGGCAGAACCAGAGCGTGCAAACGATGCTGTGACACTGGGTCGTGGGCTTTAAAAGCGGCAAAATTTTTAGAATGTAGAGGAGGCGCTGGGCAGCAGAATTTAAAAGCGGCGAAATTTTTAG